CCTCCCCCTCCCCTTCTTCACCGTCTGTCAATCATTCAGTCAGAGTAGAAAACACCTGATACTTCAACACAAGACCAGACATAAAGTGCTTCAGTTGGTCTGGACGGGTACACAACAGTACACAACAGTACACAACAGTACTGTAGTACTACAGTACTACAGTACTGTAGTACTACAGTACTGTAGTACTACAGTACTACACAACAGTACTACATCAGAGAACCTGTTTTCAGCATGAAGAAAAACCAAAGCTACATTTGATAAGAAATAAATATTTTAAAATGTGTTTCATCAGGTGAGGGAGGGGCTATGGCCACCCCCCCTTTGACCCCCCCCTCCTCTGCCCCCTCCTGGAGTGAAGGGAGAATTAAGACTTCTTCTTCAACATGGACCTGAAAATCCAGACGTCAGGCACTTATTGGTGTTGGTACAGTCTCTAGACCTGGACCTGGACTGACGTTCAGACCAGGTCCACATGTCCAGGTCCACATGTCCAGGTCCACATGTCCAGGTGTCCTCAGTGGTGTCTGTCTCTGCAGCCTGACGGTCACGGTGACCAGATGAGGTTCTCCGCAGGTTCGTCCTCAAAGTAAAGGACCGGGGGACGGGAAGAGACAACAACATGGTCCTCAGTGTCCTCTGATGGACTCACCTGTCCACCAGGTGGAGCCACGGGGAGGGGTGAGCGGCCGTAGAGAGCCAGTGATGAGACAGAGGGCGCCATCTCCTGGTTTGGAGCGGAGTCCAGTTGGTCAACCCGTGGTTTCTTGACGCTGGTCTCAGTGCTGGTCCGAGGAGCGACACCTGGGCGACTCCTGGGCTTCACCTCCTGCAGGAGGAGACGCAGGTTTGTCAATGTCTACAGCTGAGGTCAAGAGGTCAGGGGTCATCAGCGTGTCACCTGCCTGGGCTCCGTCTCTGTGGGAGTTGAGCGTCTCCCCGGTCAGACCGATGGACTCCACCCTACAGCCGTAGGCCACAGGAGTGAGCTTCAGCAGGGTGTGGGCGGGGACCTTCAGGTACGGCATCTCCTCTGGTACCATGACAACAACAACCAGTGACAGTGAGCGACTGTTGAAGACACTACACCAACACTGAAACACTACAGCCTCACCTGCACTCTTGTCCAGGAAGTAGGCCAGGAGGCAGCGCAGGACGGCCCGGTGACAGATGACCAGGACGTTCCCCTGTCTCTCCAGCTCCATGATGACCGGCTCCACCCGCTGCACCAGCTCCTGGTAGCACTGTGGGGGAGGGGCAGGTGTGATGTCATCAGTGGTCAGTTATTCATTTGTCTAGTGACCGGTGTCTGGCCGCAGTAACAAACCTCTCCAGCAGGACAGCCACAGAGAAGCTGATCTTCTGGGAACTTGTCCTTCACCTGGTCGTAGGTCACCTGGTCGTAGGTCACCTGGTCGTAGGTCACCTGGTCGTAGGTCACCTGGTCGTAGGTCACCTCCTCACACACGCCCTGTCACAACACACAAGACACACCTGGTCCTTCAACAACCGGCCCAGAGAATCCTGGGACTGACCACAGGAGGAGCCGGGGGTAAAAAAGGGTTGGATGATGGATGGATGGATGGATGATGATGATGGATGGATGATGATGGATGATGATGGATGGATGATGATGGATGGATGGATGGATGAACAGATGTGCAGTGAATATTTGAATACAGTGTGTGTGTGTGTGTGTAGCGCCCCCTACAGCATTGATCTGGTTCAGCGCCGTCCACTGCTCGTACGGTCGTCCCAGCGTCTCGGCCGTCTGGACGCTGCAGCCCAGCTGACTGGTCCAGACCTTCAGGTCCTTCAGCTGCTGCTGCTCCACAAACTGGGCCAGGACGGAGGAGAACTGCAGCGTGAAGACAACACCAACATCATCTCCTGGTCGTTTTAATTAAATGATTCATTTAGTCATTATTATTATTATTATTGATTAAAAATTCAATTCTATTTTCATGTCTTTGACCTTTCTGCCCCGGGGTGAGAGGCCAGAGTCGGCGTCTGTGCCGTCACCATGACAACACAGGTAGATGGTCCGCGGCTGCACCTGGATGTTCATCAGGAAGTAGACGATCTTACTCTGGAGGTGACCCTGGACGTGGTTGACCAGAAACCTCTGACCGACGTCCATCACCTTGATGAAGGACAGATCCCTGAAGGACAGAAGGTGGCAGCAGTGAGCACCTGGAGCTGAATATCTGTGTCGTGTGTTTCTTTTTTGAGGGCGACCTGTCGTGGTGGTCGGGGTCCAGAGGTTGGTAACTGCTTTTGTAGCATTCAATTCTCCTCTGGAAATCCAACATGGCTTCCGTCTTATTGCAGTCTCTGTAGTCTGGACACGACACCTTCACTTCCTGTCCAGGGAGGAAGTTTGTCAGGTAAATGACACCCCCTGGGGGGCGGTGGAGGCGTTACAGTGATGAAGCTTCACTACAGACGTCTCACCATGATGTTGGCTGCGATGACACTGGGATCATCACACAGAGATTCAACGAAGAAGACCTGGAACCACACGGAGGTCAGGAGGTCAGGGTCTGAACCCTGACCTCCTGACCTCAGACCAACACACCAAAGTCTCTACCTTGAAGCCGTTCTCAGCGCCAAACGCCAGGATCAGGTCTCGTCGCTCTCTCGTCGTGTTTGTGGCATCAAATACCTGGAAACCATGAAAGATTGTTGCTCTGTGATTGGACGACGGTGTGACACAGACGTCTGGAGGTCACTCACCGCCACGTGACCGCCTTCATGCTTCAAGTAGGACCTCACGTCCCTCAAGGCTGCCAAGGCACACTCCCTGCAGACAGGCGTCTGATTAGACACACACACACACACACACACACAGACACACACACACGCGGTGACAGGACTCACTGTCTGATGGTCAGAGCACAGTCGTTGTCTGGTCTGAAGAAGTCGTAGGAGCTGTAGTTCTTGACGGCCTCTCGACGATACTCTCCAACGTTGAAGACTTGGACGTGAAAAAAGACGAAGAAGAAACTGAACACGATGTTCTGACACAGACTGACACAGACTGACAGATGACACAGACCGACAGATGATGACAGACTGACACAGACCGACAGAGAGTGACAGATGACACAGACTGGCAGATGACACAGACCGACAGAGACTGACAGATGACAGTCTGACAGACTGACACAAAACAACAGATGATGACAGATGACACAGACTGACACAGACCGACAGATGACACAGACTGACAGATGACACAGACTGACAGATGACATAGACCGACACAGACTGACACAGACCAACAGAGACTGACAGATGACACAGACCGACAGATGACACAGACCGACAGAGACTGACAGATGACAGTCTGACAGACTGACACAAAACAACAGATGATGACAGATGACACAGAGTGACACAGACCGACAGAGACTGACAGATGACAGTCTGACAGACTGACACAAAACAACAGATGATGACAGATGACACAGAGTGACACAGACCGACAGAGACTGACAGATGACAGTCTGACAGACTGACACAAAACAACAGATGATGACAGATGACACAGAGTGACACAGACCGACAGAGACTGACAGATGACAGTCTGACAGACTGACACAGACCGACAGAGACTGACAGATGACAGTCTGACAGACTGACACAGACCAACAGAGACTGACAGATGACACAGACTGACAGATGACACAGACTGACAGATGACACAGACTGACAGATGATGACAGACTGACACAGACTGACACAGACTGGCCTACTCTAAGTCTCTCTCAGTACCTTTGGTAGGACAGCCAGTCCAGTTGAGGTAGCGTGTGAGTTTCTTGGACATGTAGGTCTTGCCTCGGGCCGGCAGACCCACCATGACGACCACGGTGGGGGGGTTGGCCAGGTGGGGTGAACCTGTTGAGGAGAAGTACTGAGTACAAAAAACCTTAACGAGTACTTCAGATGACCCACTAGTGATGGGGGGGGGGGCTTGACCCCCACAGATTCACAGTGACCCTGAGTATGAATGTGTTTCTGTCAGTGAGCTGTGACGGACTGTAGAACTGTTTGACCTGGGAACCGACAACGGTCGCTGACTGACACCGAGTCAAATCAAATACATTTTAAATTAATATTAAACTAAACTAACTATCACTAACTATGACTAACTAAACCAACATTCTGACTCTACGTTAATGTGTCGAGAATCAACGTAACTACGTTTGTCAGTCGAGCCGCTCCTAGTTCTGTCTACTCTTTCTCCACAGGATGAAGCCATGCGCATGCGCTGCTGTCTTCCTCACCAATCCTCCAGTGATGTCACGCAACTCGAGTCAGCGAGGTTACCATAGCGACGCGACCTTAACAGGAGAGCAGGACGTGGTCGGGCTGTAACATGGTGGTTACAAACCGTAACAAGTGCCGGCGGTGAGTCGAGTGGTCACGTGACGACTGCTGACGTCAGTTTTACAGAGAAAAAGTTAAACTAAAGAAAACGTTACTTTATAGAGCAGTAAAACCACAGCCAATCACAGGCTCACGACAGCTAAATAAATGTTTTCTCCACCGAACGACAGTGAAAACAACGTGAAGACGAAAGTAAAGACTGTGACGTTTCAGCTTCTACCTCTTCGCTCTTCATCTCTGGCGGGAACTCTGAGCCTTCCTGAAGACACCGACCGTTAGGAGGAGCCTCGGTGACAGATGGAGCGGATTCTTCTGAAGCTCTGCCTCAAACATCCGCTATTTATGACGACTGCCGGGAAACCACGTGACGGTGGGGACGAACTGCCCACGTCCGCTGAGTGAGCTACACACCGACACACAAGAGCTGGAGCTACAGCGCCGCCCTGTGGTAAACTCTGGTAATAACTGACATACATAGAAGTCGGTGGTGGTTCGTGAAGCAGTGACTGAAGAAATCTTTGTTGAACTACCTGTGAGAATGAGTCGAGTACTTTATCAGCTGTGACGTCACTGGTCTGAAGAATGCAGCTTTCTCAGGTGAGAGTGGGTCAGGACCTGTGTTTGAACTGTACCAGTGACACCTTCCTGTTTCAACACAGATGTGTTCACTGTGAGAGTCAACGTGCACGGGGTCACAGCCCGACTTTACTGAACTAGGAAACTCAGTACTTCCCCGGAGTACTTCAGAGCAGTACTTCCCCAGAGTACTTCAGAGCAGCAGAGTACTTCAGAGCAGTACTTCAGAGTACTTCAGAGCAGTACTTCCCCAGAGTACTTCAGAGCAGTACTTCCCCAGAGTACTTCAGAGCAGTACTTCCCCAGAGGCTGTACTTCACTACTGCTGCACAGACTCAATACAAAGACACTGTGACGTTGTATCAGTCAGTCAGACAGACAGACAGTCAGTAGACAACCACCCACGTGGACCAACCAGTTTCACAGTTAATAAAATCATTTGTTGATTGATTGATTGATTGATTGATTGATTGTTTGGCTGTCCAACAGGGTGTGTTGTGGTTCTCTACATTTACTACTCATCAAGTATTTGATTGAAGTACTGTGGTACTGTAGTGTGTAGTCTGTGGTTAACAAACACAACCGACGACTCCTAGAACTGACCCACGCTCGTGTTCCATTCAACATGGTTCCTTTGAGCCAGGCATCTTGACCTCTTGACCTCACTCCATGACAGAAGTACAGGTATGTAGGTCAAGGTTTCAGTGAGCACTGAGGACCAATCACAGCGCTGGCAGCTGTGCTCTCTCTCCCTCTCACACACACGGGCGTCCTAGGAATCCACTTGAACTGACGGTATCGCAGCTCTCTGATTGGCTATCAGTTTCGTAGAATAACTGTATCAACTGTTCTGTTCTAGTTTCCCAACAACAGACGCAGATTGACTTCAGTGAATTACAGACGATAACATGACTGTCACACAGATATGACCGCCATTCAGAGCTAGTTTACCTAGCGCCTGCACGCTAGCGTCCACTGCAAAGAAACATGATGAAATGATTGGACACAGTGGAGAAGTGGACGTAGGTTAGAGTCCCAGCTCTGACTCCTCTGTTCACTCTGAGCTGACCTCAGGTGTGAATGTCAGTGTGAATGATGAGGCTGACTATGCTGTACTAGAGAACGGTCCACCTTCGCCCTCTTGTGGTGACTGCTGGGAGTGGCTCCAGCTCTGAAATACTCAAGGTCAAAGTTCAGTCAGGACTGGTTTTATTTTGTTGGTGTCGAGGTCATCGACAGGTCAGAAGAAAAAAACTGAAAAAAATCATTTACAAGACCAAGTCTCCAACACCATCAGAAAATATAAAAAACACATTTATGTACAGACGAGGAGGTGGAGGCCTGTGATTGGTCCACGAGTGACGTCACACCTGCTCTCCAAGATCCAAAACCCGAAACTTGTCCAGATTGTAGAAACAAGCTTTGACGACTCGTCCTCCAAAGTAACGGCCGTTGAGGTCGACCACAGCTGAAAGAAGAAGACGACGAGGAGGAGGAGGAGGAGGAGGTTACGTTTTATTATTACTGTGGTTCAGGTCCATCACTGATGGTCCACCTCTGATGGTCCACCACCGATGGTCCACCTCTGGTGGTCCCCCACTGATGGTCCATCTGATGGGCCACCACTGATGGTCAATCTGATGGTCCACCACCGATGGTCCACCTCTGGTGGTCCCCCACTGATGGTCCATCTGATGGGCCACCACTGATGGTCCATCTGATGGGCCACCACTGATGGTCCATCTGATGGGCCACCACTGATGGTCCATCTGATGGGCCACCACTGATGGTCCATCTGATGGGCCACCACTGATGGTCCATCTGATGGGCCACCACTGATGGTCCACCTGATGGAGACACTGACCTTTGATGGCTGACTCCACCCTCTCAAACTCCAGGAAGATCCTGACAGCTTCTTCATCTGGGACCTCAGCTATCTGAACATGAAGACAGGGGTGAGACAGGGGTGAGGCGTGGGTGAGGCTTGTCTGTTGACTGTGAAGATGTGAAGATCTTCTTACCTCAAATATGACACACTTCACCACTTTGCCGTATTTCTCACACTCTTCTTTTGTCTCTCCTTCCAGGTCCTCGTCCACTTCTCCTCGTCCCACCATGTTCTGTGGACACAGATATATTTTCGGGTGGGGGTGAGATGGCGGGGGGGGGGGGGGGGGGAGGTGGGGGGGGGGTCTGGTAACAACACACTCACCCTCAGTAGAACCACCTTGGTGGGGTTTTTGAGGATCTCAGTCAGTGGGTTTGCGTCAGACTTCTTCCCAGAATCTACTGGTTGGACCAGAACAAACAAGGAACAGTGTGGCTCAACCTGTGGCTCAACCTGTGGTCCACACTCTGGACATGTTTCATATACATGTGCAGTGGATCAGCCTCCAACGGTACTAGTTCTCCCACTAGCACTGTTGGGGGGGGGGAGGGGTGAACTCCTCTGGTCAACAACAAACCAGGACTTCTGTCTCTTCTGTCTCTCACAGACCTGTAACCTCTGTCCCCCTGTTTGAACTCCTTATCAGGATCAAAG